GACTGCAACAAAGAGATCTGTTTTTACCAGATTCCACAACCCTTAGTCCTTCAGACCTGACATTTAATCTCACTAAGAACTCATTTACTCTGTTCTCTGGGCAACAACATTCCTCAGATTAACAACAAGCCTGCTTTGCAAGCTCCTGTTGCCCTGCAGAGCAACCTGCATCCACTCCAGGCGAGCAAACTGCACCCTTGAGTGGTAGATAATCTATTTATTTTTCAATTCTGAGACAACAGCTCAGGTGTCACAACTGCAGTGGGAGGAAAGGAAATTCCCAGGTTTTGCTTAAAGTTTTAATCCATCAATAGGACATGTTTCATTTTGGGAATATTTGTTATGCAAAGCTGAAAGAACGTTGTGTGCCTTCCTGACTGAAGACGGGTATTTTACATGTTGGTTGCAGGGCTGAGGAAGTATGCAGTGTTTACACTTCAGTATGACTCTGAAACAAGTTGGCTCACTAATCATCTGATATTCTAAAACCTACCTAACTATCAGGAAAAAGACTATGATCCTTCTGCTCACAGATTTTCTGTCATGGCTTTCAGATATCCAGTCTTCTCACTTTTCATGGGCATAGTTTTTAAATCCCCCTAAAGAATCTCATTGTTAACATAACTTTCCTCTAAGTATAGAAAACCAGATGAACTGTATTATGAAGAAAGTCCTGGAACCTCAGGTATGCTGATTAAAAAATTAATAAACCCATTTAGGCAAGACAAGGCAAGGCAAATTTATTTGTATAGCACAATTCAGTACAAAGACAATGCAAAGTGCTTTACATGATTAAAATACAGGAAGATAAAACAGAATCAAAGCAAGTAGGAAAAATAAAAAATAAATAAAATAAAATAAAAAATGCAGAAACAAAAATATTAAAAACAGTTGGATTAAAGAAAACATGTTTTTGTTGAACTGTTTAACTAGAATAGTCGAAGGCAAACCTAAACAAATGTGTTTTTAGTCTTGATTTAAAGGAACTCAGGCTTTCCGCACTTTTACAGTTTTCTGGAAGTTTGTTCCAGATAAGTGGAGCATAGGAACTGAATGCTGCTTCTCCATTTAGGGTCATATCCTTTGTCTTTTACTGAATCTTTGATACTAACAGATCTGTTAGTATTTTTTTATTATTATTATACCCTTTAAAAAACAGCTAAAACAGAAACTGAAACGACAGTTAAAAAAAATTTAGAAACCTGAATGTATGAGAAACAACTGACACTGAAAGGATGGAGACTTTGCTTCACAAAACTTAAAACAGTTAATGTTTTAAGTAAAAACGGTTTGGTTCTCCATCCACCAACACGTGCTTTAGATATAGAGATGAAACCAGATATTTATTTATAAATGACATACAGCTATGCCTATTAACATAGCAGAAAAAAAGCACTGTCTCCTCTCTCAGTGTCTCAGATTATATCTGATTTCTTTTCTGTTTCAGGCCACTTAGAATAACCCACATTTCTAAAATAACAGAATAATCAGAGATTTTTTTTTTTAATTATTATAATTTGATCTGAATTTCATTGATTTTAAAAAGATTCTAATAGACTTATCTAGAAGTTCTGAGTAAAATGGAAGCCCAAAACTCACTGTTTCCTTTCTCTGTGTGACATGAAGGAAAAATCAAAGATAAGAGCCAAAATATTAAGGAGAGAACTTCCACATGTCTGGCTCATCATCAGGAATAATATCCTAATGCCTAAAAGTTTTTCATTCACTCAGACAGAAGATAATATGTAAGTATAAATGCTGCAGGAACATCAGCCTTCATCCTGTTAAGGAAGGAAATCGTATTTGCATCTCAAAGATGCAAATATGTGTAAATATTCTTGTGTATATATGTTTATTCTGTAACTGCACAGTCCTTTTCTACATTTTTTAGAATATTTATTTTCTTCTTATGGCACTATTGGCCAGCACTGTTTTGTTTTACATGGTTTTGAGCTGCTAAAAATTTTGTTCTGCCCTTGAGGAACAATAACAACCTCTGATTCTGAAAGTGTGGATGTTGATGTAAGTTTTTTTTTTTTTTGCTAACACAAGCTAAAGGGCTCAAAATAAGGAAGGAGACATTTTAAAAATGTGACATCAAAAAGACAGATTACAGTTTTAAAAAGTTGGAGGCAAGTCCTGCGATCTAACTAAACTGACATTGAAGGGTTTGACCATGAAAATCGTCTTTATAGGAACAAGAAATAAATAAATAGAGAGAAGGTTCCTGGGTGCTCTGCAGGAGGTTGCACTTCTATAAAAGGCATTTTTTCAGTTCAAGTAAAAATTAAAACTTGCTTCTGTCTCTCTTGTTGTGACATTTTGCAAAAAAGAAAGGTTTCTCCCTACTTCCCTAAAACAAGTTGTTTCGTTAACTGCCACAGTGAGAAGCATGTGCACATATGATATGTAATGGCAATAAAAGCTTTTATAATTTCTGCAGATATGTGTAGATCTGGTCTCAACTGCATATCAAGAAACAGCATCCTTTGGTCAAAGCCCATTTATCTGCACTGGTGAAGAGTAAGTTAGACTCCATTTTATACTCTGATCATTTAAAATGTAACTCACTTCAAGGCAATATGCAAAATATATCTCCCTGTATTCCCTTTCATGACACCTGATCATGCTGCATACAGCAACAGAACGAAGAAAGATTAAGATCACTTGTTTAATATAAAACTATATGTTTAACCCCTATTAGTGGCTTTCAAAAACATAAAAACTCTTGCTGGATATATTTTTATCCATTATTTTCAGTCAATTAGATTTAAGAGTATAGAGTAACTTTTTTTTTTTATCTTTCAACTGTTTGAAGCTTATTCTTATTGGTTTGAAGTGGCAATCTTGTTTTTGAGAAAGATTTACCGCTTTTTAGGATTAAATAATGGGTGTTTAAATCTTTATGATTTAAATCTTGCCTCAAATGAACAAAAATACACAACACCAACCACACTATAATATTTATTTCATGAAAAACTTGAATTAAATAGAAAAAAAACTTGACTCAAACTTTCTAACATTGAGACAATATGAGAATAAATAAACATTCGAGAAGCAAAACTTCCTCATAATACTTTGTTATTGTGTTACTACCCTTATTATCAGCATTGATATAAATCTTCCTCTAGTTGATGCAGATTGCTACATAAGCTGTTTCGAAAGCAGGAAAATCTAAACCAAAAAATATGGCTTTGAAAAATATTCACACCCATGCCAGCTTTGTGGTAAAAGTAACTTTTTCATTTTTACCAGCATGTGTCTCTCTGGCAGGAAATAACATCATTGTTCTGAAGCGACTCAGTCCTGAAAATGATAGAAAATGTTCAAAGGGAGCAAAAGATTGGTATGACGGCAAGGAGGTCTTCTGTGCTCATCATCAAAATACAGACGGAAAACAACAAAAAAATAGTCCGAAATTAGGAAAGTGGGTTGAATATTTCCACAGAGTATTTCAAAAAATGAACAGTTGACATGTTCTTCGTTATTAGAATGTAAATAAAAACTGATAACTGATTTTTGTTATAAACTGACACCCCTTCAGCAGTGTTTTATTATAGATATCTGTTATAAAACTGATGTAATAGATATCTGTCTATTACTAAAATAAACTCTTTTAATTAAAAGAAAAATATTTTAAGTGTATATGAGCCAAGAGACTAAATAACTTTTACAATTGGGTCAAAGATGAGAAATCATATTTAAAGGTAAAGCATTTTTAGAGCAATGATAAGCAGGAAGTAATTTCAACTAAATGATTATGGGCTGAACAGTTAAAGCTTCTGACATGCTTGACTAAAACTAACTTTTATCAGAATAAATTAGGCTGATCTGAATCACACCATGCAGCAGTCTATATGTATTTATGGGATCAGAGGTGAGTAGTTACATTTACTTAAGTACACTTTTTAGAGTTTGAACTTTTATTTTTATTTTTCCTTGATAAAAGTATGATCAAATATCACTACTCCTACTTGAGTAAAATTTCTGGGTGCTCCATCCATTGTGAGTAACTTTACTCAATTAAAACAAGCTAGTTTTAAACAGATATGCAAGACTGAGAGAGACATTCTTCTTTTTTTATACTCAAAGTTTATTTGTTTAATGTTATTTTTTATCTTCTGAGTCTCCATTTGGAGTGAAAACAGAAGTATACCAGGATTGAACCTATTCTTTCATACTGTAACTATTGAAATTAAAAGTTTTATAACTAAAAAAACAAAACATATTTTGAATAATATTCATTCTAACTATATTTTTATTGTGTCATTTCTATATGTTATATGCTTGTTTTTATCTTATTCTTTGAAACACCATAATTTGCATATCGCTTAATATTTTGTTAAATTTTAAATTCATTTTGCAAATATAAAATCGACCTTTATGATCATGGGTAGCACTTACTCAGTACTCGAGTAGCCTTTTTATGAAACACTTCTTTACTGTTACTTAGGTAATTTCTTTAAAGGCTACTTTTTATTTATACTTCAGTAAATTTATGATGAAATGGTGCTACTTTTACTTAAATACAGATTTTGGGAACTCTGCATGGGATAAAATGGACCTGTCTGTCTTGGAGAGTTCATAATATTATTAATAATAATAATAATAATACATTGTTATTATCATTATAATTAGTAGTAGTGGGTGCTTTAGATACTTAATTAAATTGTTTTATATGACAGTTTATTCTTTATAAACTGTCTAGATGAGCATTAATAGATCTATTAAAAGTTAATTTTTTTCTAATTGCTTTTAACAGTTAGAGGGATTTTAAATATGCATTAAGATTTTACTTAAAGGAACATTTATGCCCGGTGTTGTTCTAATGGCAGCCAGAGCTCCTCGGTGGTGGCGGACAGACAGTCGCTCCGGTGTTTTCCGGATCCAGCCCCAGCCCGAGGATTATGGAGGCGGACTAGGCGCTCCGTGTTTTCCCGCAGACCGTGCGTGGCCCAGCTGAGGTGACTGGCAGGACTTGTTTACTGGTGGAGAGAGGCTCGCAGAAAGAGAGACGGGAACCTGAGGGAGAGAGCGAGCTCTAGATGCGACGGGAATGCAAGTTTTTTTTTTTTTAACCACTTGTCCCCATCTTTTTTCACTCTTTTTACTCGTTTTCGCTCCCTCCTCGCGTGGACTCTCTGAGACGAAACTCTAACTTAATGTGTTTGTTCGCTTGTTTTATTTTTTTTTTGTCTTTAAAGAAAGGATCTCCAACTGTATCGCCGACGCTGAAACCAACCTCGTTTGTTTTGGATTAGCCAGCTAACGCTAGCTCTCCTGAACTCCCATCAGCCAACGTTAACCAAAGAAGAAGAAGAAGAAATAAAGAAGAAGAAGAAGAAATAAACGGTTTGCTGAGGAGCTTGGTTGTCTGATAAAGAAGCCAGAGCCTCGCCCGCTCGGTTTTCTCCCGTTGGCTCTTTTTTTTTTATTTATTTTTTTTTTTTATGGGTGTTGATCCGTTTGCGGCGCGAGGGTGAAGGAGTTCAGAGGAAGGTCGCAGTGTTTAGGAGACAAGGAGGAAAACTGCACGTTTTTTTTTTTCCTGCTAAGAGTTTCCTGGGATGTACCTCCATCGGTCTTAAAACGCAGAAGCACTGATTCTGAGGAGTACTCGACTTTTTAAACTTTAACAGGAAAACAACCCCCCCCCCCCCCGATAAATGCATGACAGCGGGCCTTACTGAAGGGACCTCCGAACTAAAGGGATTATAATTCCACATTTCTTCCACATTTATTGGATTATCAACAGCAATCAGATGAACGGGGACTGTCGCCTTCACTTATGGAAAATGATTTTCACTCGCACATGTGCTGCCAGAACCCAAGATCACGTCATTTAGTGGCTTCGTTGCACAATTTATTTAATTTTTATTTTTTTTAAACCGGGTCTAGAAAAAGAAAAGAAAAAAAAACTTGGCTGTATAAGAAAACTCACTTCTAGCTGATATCCCGGACACACATTTCCCCCCCTGAGGACTGGAGTTCCTGGAATCTTCAGAGGGAGAACTACTTCAGTCAAGATGAGGTGGTTGACGCCAAAGCTGCGAGCACAAACGCTGTTTTTGATCCTCTGTACCTGTATTATATGCAAGTGTGGGCTCATAAACGGTGAAAGTAAGTATTTTTTTATTTTATCATTTTAATGTTTGTTTGTTTTTATTCTTACGTCTGAAAGAAACCAAGCAGTTTGATTATTTAGAAATAAATTAACCCAAATAGTATTAATATATTTTTGTTTTTCCTTTTCTTGTCACGAGACCCTCGTAAACAGTCTCGCGCATGCACAGACCCTCCCGTGTCTCTTGATTGTTGCAGCTCGCTAATTTCGGCTGCTGCATAACAATAATTGATCATCTCTGTGTTGTGGAGGACTGTTTATGCTCCCTCTGCCCTCCGAGCAGGTCCGGTCCGGATGTTTTTCGGCGGCCTGGGCTCGTATCTTCGATCCCAGGGTGGGATTATTAGCCGCTGCTGCTGGACCGTGGTGGTCTGCGGCACAAACTGGGAACAGCAGGATTGATTAGCAGCCCTGTGACCAGAGGCCTCTCATGGCGACCCAACTATGGCAGAACATTTTGCCACATAATTCATTCCTAACAGCTCAGCTTAAATGTAAAGACTGACTGACCCCAAAATCAAACAGTTACTAGTCAAAAGTTAAAATCTTAAGAGTTGTTGTAATTTGAAAGAAGCTCATCCCTTTGGCATATTTTGATTTAAAATCATAACAATTTAGCAAATTGGTTTGTTACTAATGAGAAATTACATACATCATGCTTAATTGACTATATTTAATATCATTTTTACCAAAAACAAAACCGTCAAAGTAGGGTTAAAATGTTTTTTTCAGAGTGACAATCCTCCTTAATAAGTAGGGTTTGTATCCACTTTAATTGGAGTGGGAAGGCCTCCTTGTTTTCACCCTAATCTGGTTAGAATACTCCAAAATGTTCATAATTCTTCCAGTCGAAATAAACTGAACAGGTAAATGGAGATTATGTTAAAGCGAATAACATTTAGCAATAAGGGTAAACGCAGACCCCTTTCAGACATCATTCGATCTGTATGCAGGACTAGACCAACTATAGCTTACATTTACAAATACATTTGTAAGATCTGCTAAAAAGACATCAAAATATAAACATTTCTTCATTTGATTCTTTATAAATGGATTTCATTTAAGTTTTCATGCTTCATATATATTATTTTGGTGTGGAAACAGGTTGTTTTTGTGCATTTCAGAGCCCCAAAAAGTCCTAAATATGACAAGATATTTAGATAGTCCCACCATACAGTATGGTAAGACTATCTAACACACTTAATAGAAGTTAAATTGTCCACAGAATAGATCAGAAAGTTGCTCGTACAACGGAGATGATGCAACATTGTTAAAATCTGGAACAAAGTTTAATTTCTTTTTTATTCTTTTGGGCTTCTTTCCTCTTTAGTCACACCTTTTTTTTTTTTTACTTGAACTAACCAAGATGCTTTAGCTTATGAGAGTGATGATAAAAGTGAAGAGAGAGGATTTCAGGTCAACAGATGCTGTTAATACCATAATATTGCATTGTTTTAGATCATAGTAATCCAACATTAGCTTTACCTTTCTGAAATTTAAGCAGTAGATAAAGGAATTCACTGGTTTTCGATTGCTAAGATGCTATGATTTGATTATGAGTAGTTCTGTTATACATGCACTGCTGTTTTTTATGACAACTGACCTTTCCATAAATGTACACATGCAGCTTTGCTGCAGCTTGGATGTAAACAAGTTATCCACTGACACTAAGAATCTCTTTATAGGTGGGGAATTTTACTCTGTCGGTGTGAATGAAGGGCATCTTCCTCTCTGGGGGATGTTTGTAGCCTATTATGTATTTTTTTTTATATTAATGAGCTGATGTTTTACTGAAATTAGCTAACAGAGCGTAAATGAAGCAGCTCTTATAACTGTTGTCAAAGAGATTGATTGAGCAGTAGATAATACCCATTTCAGATCGTTTAAAGGGATAGTTCGGTATTTTTGACATGAATCTGTATGGCATCCCGATCACCAGCGGCATGCAATCACACTGACTTACCCCTGGCAGCGTCCTGTGAGCAGAGTTATCGTCCAGTTTTGGTCAAGCCGAAAGTAGTCCTGCAGGTTTTTAGGAACAGCGAAATAAAACTTTTCTCTTCCCAAAACATTATGTGTTCAAAAGAGTGATATTTTCGCATCCCAAAAACATTGTAGTGGAAAAAGTCACACGTCGTTATCAATTGGTCCTATTTTCTCTCTGTTCGTATCAGTGCGCGCCGTCATTCAGACAGCGAGCCCAACAACAGCCATGTCTCCTTCCTCCGCGGCGGAGGAGACATGGCTGTTGTTGGGCTCGCTGTCTGAATGACGGCGCGCACTGATACGAACAGAGAGAAAATAGGACCAATTGATAACGACGTGTGACTTTTTCCACTACAATGTTTTTGGGATGCGAAAATATCACTCTTTTGGACACATAATGTTTTGGGAAGAGAAAAGTTTTATTTCGCTGTTCCTAAAAACCTGCAGGACTACTTTCGGCTTGACCAAAACTGGACGATAACTCTGCTCACAGGACGCTGCCAGGGGTAAGTCAGTGTGATTGCATGCCGCTGGTGATCGGGATGCCATACAGATTCATGTCAAAAATACCGAACTATCCCTTTAATGACCTTGTTTTAGGAGCATCAGTAGAGGGATCATTTGTACACTTTTTTTTTGTTTGTTTGTTTTCCTTTAAGCATTTGTTGTACACTGCTGAGATCCGACGCAGAAGGCTGGAAAATTAGAGCCGGTACAACCTGGAAAAACTGCTGCTTTTTTTTTCTCTACTCCATACGTAAATCATTCGATCACATGCAAATGTTTTGCTTTCTCGGTTTTATGTGTAAATTTCAAACAAAAACGTCTTCAGCTCCAGCGGCTGTTCTGAGATTAATATTAAACATTTTCCTTGTTTGTCAAGGGTTTAACCTTTGCCCTACATCCTGTCTCCTTGGGAGATTTGCAGCTTCTCAGAACAGGAGCTCGTTCCAGAGCGGGTGAGCAGGTAGTTTGCAATGATCCTACATGACAAATAGCCTTGAAGAAGCCACTCATTTTAAGCTGATTGCCTCTTTAGTATAGGTATGGAAGGGGGTGGTTGTATTAGTAGAGTGACTTAGTGGGCTGGTTGAGAGGAAGTGATATGACTTACTTTTCATGGGTCATGTGTGCAGGCAGAAGAGGCCCTTGAAGGGGGGTCTTGTGAGACAGCCTTTTTTTTTTTCCCCCTTTTTTCAGTTTTTTTTCTTCCTGCTCTGCGTCTCTCAGGGAGTGGGTTATGTCTCATTGGCTGTTGACGAGTACCGTGGAAGTGCCCATATTTGGGTCTCAAGATGTATGCACCAGAGAAAGGGGGTGGAGACGACAAGAAAAGTGCATAAAGTATTTCATTCTGAATCCACACACAGGGGTGATTTGATATGCTGGACAGCGGTTGTAAAGTTCTGAGTGCACTTCTAGAACAGCTTCTTGGTCAGTGTGAACGGCTATCAAAGTCGCACTTATCAGTGACTAGTTTTCTGAAGCAACTGCTAAGTTATCTGTTTGTCTAACTTCTGAAAAACATGTTGTGCAACTTGGTGTCTTCTCTGTTCTTAGTCCTTTCAAGCCTATGAGTTCAGCTCTCCCTCACCACTGTATATGCTTTTGTTAGTACATTTAAGGCATTCTGGTCGACGAATCTTCCCTGCTGATACTGTGAATAAAAATGTCCAGAGCAGGCATTCTTTATTCAGGAGAAATGGTGCAAATCTAAAGACCAGGAGTATCAGAGCCGACCTCCGTTTGTCTGTTTGGATTCACAGGCACTCTTCACTGAAGTGCTCATTGGCATTTTCCGACAATGCTGTGCATGTTGTGGAATGCCTTTGAAGTGGCCCACCATGTAGGTGTGTATGTGTGTGTGTGTGTGTAAGCAGGGCTGTGCACCCTGCCCTCTTTGTGTGCTTTCTGCAGGATCTCATCTCTCAGCTTCTGACTGGCCCACTTCTGCACAGTGTAAGTTTTGTGCAGGTCCAGATGAGGTGGCCAGCCATGAGAACTACATGTATACTGCATTTAGTTTCAAAAGTGGGCTCTTATTTAGTATTGGCATCTATTGCGTCCCATGTGGGCACTATTTAAGCCTTCATAAATCCATTTCATCAAAGAGATAAATGGTTTTAGAAGAGAATGACAGTAACTGAGGTAAACGATAACATGATGTGAAGCAGAGTAGCTTGCACTGCCCCGAACCCATTCATTTATTTAAAAGGATGTGAAAGCGGATTATTCTTGAACTTGTGATAGCTGTGAAAGTCTAGAACCAGATCCTAGTGTTTTGATGGTAAAAAGTAAAATAGAAATGCCTCCTTTTGTTCTCCAGTTAAATGCTTTTCACAGGACAAAATCTTTAAAAGTTGCAAGAAATATCATAGAATCAGAGCAGAACATAAATATTTGTGCTGAAAAACTGTATGAATTATGAACCCTGGTTAAAATGAAACTATTAGAAAGGAAAGAAAAAAAAAATGTAGTGATGTAACAGCTAATCAGCCAGAGCTTGTAACTGGCTGAGCCTCCATTGATTGGCTCTAGTCAGTGATTGGTGGGTATGACACAGAAAAAGGAATGTCTATTGTTCAGGAAATGCATCAAAAGCTCAGAATTCACTGTTTTACGTCTTTAAACACACCAGTCAGGGATGTTTGCTTTCTTTAATTGAAAGGTTTATCTACTAGTTATGCTGTTTTCTTTTAAGATTCAAAATGAGATTCTCCATAAAATCAGCTCATTACATTTTGATCCTTTTATGTATAGGGGCAAAAATGGGAGGTCAGTAAAGGCCTGGCATATTTAATTTGGACAGATGTCTAATAATTTATAAAGAAAGTATGGTATCAGCCAGCAATTGCAATTTTGTTTTGATTTTGTTTCTGCAATAACCAAAATCAGCAAATATTCCTTATAGAAATGTACGCTTGTATTTAAAGTCTAATTAAAGAAAAGGAATGCACTGTTTTCATTACTGATCTGAATATTTTTATTCAAGAGAAAAGGCCTGCCCTCT